GTCTGCTGTTTCTTCAGCTTCTTTGCAGAGGTGGCATTTGCTGTCTGGTGCTGTCCTCTCAATTATTATTATTACTATTATTGTTGTTGGTTGCACAGTCAGCCAGATATTTAGACTAGATTTGGCATTCTACATCAGATCAACACAGCCATTGTAAGAGCTCCCCACGATTGAGTGTAAATCAGAGGGTATAATTTCTGTTGATTCAAAATCTATATCGCAGCTTGATGACATGTTTAGTGTTGTACTCCAAAATTTATCAATATCTGTTTGGCAGGGGCTAGGTGGGATGGGGGTGTTCAGGAGTTTTATAAGATAAAATGGGTACCTGAAGTATCTGCATGGATATCTTAAATATTTTCCTTAAAATCTCCAAGCTTGCCAAAATTCAGTGCCTTCAATGCTTCATCCAATTTGGAGGCATAAAAGATATGCTGGGGGTCCCAGGGCTGTGCTTTTGATATAAACAGTCCTGAAGTATGGATCAGCATTTATATTCTTAGGTACTCTAGCCATGTTCAGCATCTAGTGATTATTAATAACATTACAGATCCACTGTAGATAGCCTGACTTGTGGATATATTCAAATCCAAGTCATTGCCTATTAGAAATGAAATGTAAGATCCAATGCAATATTAAGTACACATGCTTGATTCCCATTGGAAAGTAAAAACAGTGAACTCTTATTTTGGACTATGGCCAATATGGTTAGATGATGAACTATTTGAAGATGGGGATTTCCTTCACAAGTATAGTTCAGAGTTTGAAAGTTCTGTAAAGTTAATCTCAAAGTTCCCCTATTTGGATTTTGAAAGTGCTCTTTGTGTTTTAATCTCAGGCAAGACATAAAATCTTTTCTTAAAAGGTTTCTTTATGAGCATTTATAGTTATGTTCTCCTTTCAGCAATATCCATAAATTAGAAAGCATAAGGTTCTTGGGTTGGAGAGTGTACATTTTTGACATGCTTAAATTACAGCATCTCTCTTTGTAGCTATTATTCACTACAGTTTGCTATTTCTTCCTCTCAGATTTATTCTGTCTGACCCTAGATGGTATTGTTCATTTTGAAATCTTGTTTATGGAGAGATGATACATCCCAGGATAACTGTCTGTTTATGTCTGACTTGGAGCCTCTGTACAAGGTTGTGTCATGCCAAAGATGAAATAGGAACACCTTGTATACTTCTACAATAAAATATGAAAGTGCTTTGTTGCAAAGCAAGGGATGAACTTAAACTGCTTTGGAGTGAAAGTAATTCATCTTAAACAAAACTCAAACTTTGCCTTTTATAATCTAAGACAGAGCTGGTCCTGGAATGTAAGGTCTGGTGAACCTAGTTTTAACTGACTTTGATACAGCAGTCTGAAAATAAAAAGACATACTCCAAATCAAAGGACCTCAAAGTATATCTTGTAGGGAGCTTATGATATTGGTAGTTGTATTTTAGACCTAGCTTTCAGCTTGCATTAAATCAAGGCTTGGTTAGGCATGAATTGTTGACTAAATGGTAAATGGTTGGGTTGTATAACATGCTAAACGTAAACAATGTTTTACAATTCACAATGGCTGGGTTCACAGAATTTACTAATCCCAAAAAATAACACAATGTGTTCACTCAGTTATACAGCCCAATATAATTAATTTTGTCCCATGTATAAATTGCCATGGGAATATAAGAGCCTGTATCATGTTGAAGCAGGCTATTGGTTCATTTAGGTCATTGTCAACTAAATTATCTAGAATTTACAGTAGAAGTGTTTTCCAGTCTTGTTAGATATGATTGTGACAGATTTGGCCTAAAAACATAACTTCTGCTACTGAGCTCTAGTTCCTCACTTTTGCTGGGTTTCAGATAATTTTGTTAGCTTCAGCTCTTCTTTATATTGCTTCTTGATAATGGCCTTCATGCTGTCATTTAAGATTATTTCAAACATCTGTTTTGGGTTGCATTCCATAAAATTCCAAGAATACTCATCCTGGTGTGCCAGGAATCTCTTGGGCCTCGCAGTATATACTGACAACTCTCAATAGTGGTATATCCTCTTGAACTCTATATAAGTGTGTCCTTGTCTTATGAATAAACATCAGTAATCCTCAAAATATAATTGAAGCAATCTGAAGGCTTGGTGGAAATTATGTCTGGTATATAATCAAGTTTTCTTTATCTTTTCAGTGCAAACTAAATATAAAAGTAATACCTTTGTATACATTCTGTTTGACAGGTTCAGTGTGGTGATTTTCCTCATCTGTTAGTTTATGGGCCATCAGGAGCTGGAAAGAAGACAAGAATAATGTGTCTACTAAGAGAGCTGTATGGTTCTGGAGTAGAGAAACTGAGGATTGAACATCAAACTATAACAGTAAGAAACATCAATTTTGCAATCCACACTTTTTTTTAATCCAATATTTCTGATTCCACTATTTCTGCATCAAGCAAAGTTTATTTCACATCTGTTATTCCTTCATTAATATCTTTTAGACATATTCTATCCATAGAAGCAGACATTGTTACTGATATTGCTGATATTGTGGCTACTAATTTCTGGCCCTGTTCTTCGAAGATCTCCTTTAATATTTCAATATTATAGTATTTTGGATCATTTTGTAAATCCCAATCCTAAAGGCAAGGTTTTTTTTCTTTTTTGCCTGGACTTTAGTCCCCTCTAGTGTCCAATTTAAATCATAAGGTCTCTTATCTCTGTTATGACTTGCAGTAGTCAAAATAATTGTGGTTCTCATGAAAACCTGTTTATTTTATATAGCTAATTCCAAAATCTTATAGTAAAAGTTTCAGTTTTCCAAATTTGTATGGACTCTTAATTCATTTATAACTTTCTTACTTCAAAATCTTGTTTAGTTTTTTGCCGTTTATTTCAAGTTCTTTAAGTTCTTAAACTTATAATTAATTTTTCTTTTGTTGAGGAATAAAGATACACTTACCAGGTGACTTTTCAGACTTATCATTCTGAAGACCTCTAATAGCCTTAAGATATTTAAATAAACAATTTCCAAAAGTGATTAGAAGTGAGGTTAGCAAACTTAGTGTCCTTTAAAAGGCGCTGGCCATGGTTGTGAGCTTGATGATTAATCCCTTAGTCTCCCAGCACTCAGACCCTCTGGAGACTGCTATCCTATGGTTTTCTCACAAGGAGCAGCCATCTGGAGCACGTATGGGAGATCTCCCATCCTCTCCTTATCTGGAGAGGTTCCAAAGAACTGGTCTATTCACCAGTTCTTCGGTCTTTGCCACAGTCATCGTCTCCACTCTCCACTGAGATGTGCTTGGCTTGCCCTGACTCCACCGGAAGTCTTTCGTGGCTGATTTCTTAGGAAAAGGAATTATCTCAGGTTCCTTTGAACAAAGAGGAAATGTGATCAGTCCTAAAGAAGCCACCTGTACATCTTCTAGGTCAATGGTGGGTACTTTGGGGTCCATTATAATTATTGGAGCTTTAAGGGTCTTTATGCCACTCTATGGGTCTTTATGCCACTCTAAATAGATCTGATGCCCCTATCTCGAATAGAAAAATAAAACATTTCTAGCAATTCTGAAGCTGACAGGGCAGGGATAGGAACAGTTTTCTGGCTTTTTTCAGGAAAAAAAATGGAGAAAGAGAGAGATATATATAGACACAGGCAATTTTTAAACATCTTCTGCAGATATAAATGAATGAATGGATGTATAGCTTGCACCTACCCTTCTTTTAGTGCTTGAGGTCTGGTGGAGGACAGAAGCATCTACCAAACTCTAGCAGCAAACCTATGAGACCTGAAGTCTAAGTCCTTCTCTTTTGAAAATAAATGATAGTGCACCCTCGAAGAAGAAATACGTTCTTAGGTTTCTGTCTGAGAACTCTACTATGTAATTTGTTCTCAGTGTACAGTGTACAACTGTAATTACCTGATACTGTTAAATCTGATATAAAAATCTTCCTAGGTTTTTAGGTAATTTTGGAGACTGAAAGCTTTTTAATCTATCTAGATGTCTATTCTTTAAATTTAAAAAGAAAATATTAGGAAATACTTTATAATCCATTTTAACATTCTTCCAATTTGTAAGAAAAATTGCAGAGAAAATGGTTTTACCAAACTCCGGTAATTTCATGATTTGGCTAATGTAATGTGTGAGTGAATATGACCAAAAAAATTTTAGCAGATGAGGCAATTTTAACATATCCCAATCCATCTAATCTGTATGGCTTCTGGTTGTCCTTCACAGCTTGGTATTTCAGTACAAGATGTAACATTTAGACACTATGATTTGGGTTTTTTTAATTGTTCTTTTTTTTTTTAATGTAAACTGCTCAGAATCATTTGGAGTTGAGTAGCCTCTCAGTTGTATTAAACAAATAAATCTCCTTTTGTTTCTTCAGAAACTTAAATATTAGATGAACATGGGGCCCTTCCGATTTTGCTGAACAGCATCTTACAGTATCTGTCACTATTGGCCATACTAGCTGAAGTTGTTGGGAGTTGTAGTTCAGCAAAATTTGGGTGACCACATGTTCATATTGTGCCATATTGTTGAATTTGATGTTTTTCAGAATATGTATGACTTTATTTCCCATAACTGCCATGCTGGTTGGTAATTATAGAAGTTTAAATCCAACACATCTGGAGTGTACTGCATTGGGCAAGGCTGCCCTAAAGTCATCTGTACAAGAGACCAGTATAGATGGAGAAAGAGTATTCTTGGCATTATCACTCTAAAGATGTTTGTTCAGCCATAACACTATTTTTTGGTGTTAGATTTAAATCTCTTTTACTCTTTATGACACTGATTGTTTTAGCTCTGATTGTTTTAGTTGTGTAACGTTTTATTTATTTTTTTTTTGGCTTTTCACTGAGGGTTTTTTTTTTCTAATAACAAGTTTCTGATTTTATATTGTTAGGTTTTAGTGCAATTTTCTGTTTTTGAAATGACCAGTGCCTAGGGAATTTGAGAGACATCAGTGAATAAATAATAACTCAGTGTTATACAATACAAACCAAATGTGCAGTTTCTAAATGTGCAGTCAGTTCCAAATGTGCAGTTTCTAATCTACATTGGCAGTTAGAGCACATTTCCTAGAAGTCATCGACCATGCATGCAGTTGAACAAGATCTTGGAATCAGCAAAGCCATTCCCCTACTCAGTGTAAAATACAACTGAGAAATGGCTATCAAATCTCTGCATAAATGTCTCAAAGAGTCCACCACCTTTTGTTCACCTGTCAAACAGCTGTTTCCAGTAGGAAGATTTTTCTCTTGTTGATTTGAAATCTGTTTCCCCATAATTTGCATACATTGTTTCTAGTTCTGTTTCTAGAGGAGAGAACAAGGTATATATTTGAGTATTGCAATCATGCCTCCCCTTTATATTTTCTTCTCTGGACTCAATATATCTGTCAGGCCCAACCCAAGAACGATGAGGCAGTCCAGTCGAGCATAGTTCCTTTATTAGCTTACACACTAAAGACAAAATCTTGCCAGACTAAATCTGTGCTAAAGCAACTAGTGGATATACCCCATGAGACTCGGCGGGGGGGAGGGGGACTAGCCTAAGCCTCTTCTTCTCACAGTCTTGCTGCGGGCTGAGAAAGCGCTTGCCTTATACCCTCTCCTGGAATGCACTCCCTCCTGATAGCCTTGATCTCCCATTCCAGTATCCTCCTCGCATATGCCTTCCATTACAATATCTAACTCTTTCAAATGTATCTGATGGAGCAGTTTATGTATCTGTCAACACTTTGCCCAGCCTTCCCCAGGCATACAGGTAGTCCTCAACTTACAACCATTCATTCAGCAACATTCAAAGTTACGATGGCACTGAACGAATGGTTATGAGCAGTCCTCGGAGTTCTGGCTGTCTCAACACCCCGTGGTCATATGATCACAATCGGGGTGCTTGGCAACTGGCTTGCACTTGCGACTGGCTGCAGCACCCCATGATCATGTGATCTCCATTTGTGACCTACCCCGCCAGCTTCCCCAGAAAGTCAACGGGGAAGCCAGCAGGGAAGATTGCAAGTTGCTGGGGTAAGTCTCCCCCACCCGCATACCCTCCCCAGCACCATGCACTTGTGTAGTACTGGCCACTCACACACCCTCCGCAAACCTCGCCGCACCTCCCTTGCACTCCCATGCACCCTCCCTGAGCCTTGCCGCGCCTCCCTCGTACCCTACCTGAGCCTCATCTCCCTCGCACCCTCCCTGAGCCTCCCCGTGCTTCTCGTGCACCCTTGAGCACACTCAAGCCCCACTGTACCTTCCTTGCACCCCTTCATGCACTCTCCCACCTGGCATCAGCCACTTACCTGCCTGCTGGCCTACTTGCAGTCTTCCTGGGACTTGCAGATTCCTGCCAGCTTCCCCACTGACTTGGTTGTGGGATTCAGTTAACAAGGGCAACAGGGGCTGCAGGGATTGCCATCGCTAAGCAATGCAGTTGGGCTTTATGACTGCATTGCTTAACAATGGAAATTCCAGTCCCAGTTGCCTTTGTAAGTCAATGACTACCTGTACCTCACTTTGTCAAAGCTGTTTTTAAAATGTGATGCCGTAAAGGATGTTGTACTTCAGATACTGTCTGACAAATGCTGAAAGCAGTGGGATTGTTATTATCTGAAAACTGCTACTATAATGTAGCCTGTATTTGTCCTGCCAAATGTGTTGACTCAGTTAATTTAGGCATTCGGCTCTACAGAAAATTTAATTAGCAAATTAGTACTAAGAGTATTGATTTGCACTATTATCTTTCTTCAACTGTATGATATTGGAAATAATTTGGCCTAGCATTTAGTTTAGAATTTGTGCTGTTTCACACTGAATCAGCAGTTGTGATCAAGAGATCAGTTAGCTTTTGCTTATAGTTACCAGTGGTTTCTCATAATAGTAATAATTTGATAAAAAGATTTTTTAAAGTGATATCTCAACAGACAGAATGAGTTATTTTGCATAGTTAGTAGCTTGGGGAGTAAAGCAATCACCAGTAAATATATTATTAAAGAGATTCCTTCTGTCACTTCAAATTTGGAATGATTTTCATTTTAATCAGTAAAATCAAAACATGTCAGTATTTAATAATTGGCATGACTTGAAGCTCAGTGCTTCAGTGTCTAAAACATTGTGCAAAGTGAATATAAATGGTCCTTATTATAATTCCTTATTTAGTTTAGCTTTTGCCATTTAGCTTAATTTTTTAAAAATTAAGTAATATAGTATTATGGCGACCTTCCCCACCATGTGCATTCCACTGCTACTTTCCAGTGCTTTGACCATTTAATCCCAAGGGTGCCATTGTGGAGAAAACTGTGCACTGAAGCATGCAGTGTCTGTGTATGTTAGAAGTTTGATGGAAACCAGATTTTAAAGCTTCTCTTCATTTGAAATACTGGCTGTTCTTTGTGTTTGATGCTTCCTTGCTGTTCCTCTATCTAAGTCCCTTTTCCCACCCAACTCTAGAAGAACTTGGCAGACAGCTTTTCATCACTGAAGTTCAGAGGGAGTTTTTATAAAATCAAGAGGAACATAATTAATACAAGCAATAAAAAGTAGTGGAAAGGTTATCATTTTTCAAACTAAAATGGAACAAAAGGCAAAATTACTTCAAAACATATCATGCTTGACATGTAACAATTTAAAAAAATGTACTATTTGTTGTTCAATAATGTGAGTTAACTCTCATCAGTATTGATCTAAAATTCATTTGCTTAGTATCACTTTTTTTCAGGCACCTTCTAAAAAGAAAATTGAAATCAGCACTATTGCAAGCAACTATCATCTTGAAGTTAATCCAAGGTATGTTTGTAATCAGCTCTGAATATCTAGTTTTGGGCTGCAGGAGCTGTGCAATGTTTAAAGAAACTCCAGTTTTAGTTATGGCTTTTATATATGGTACACTGAATTACCATAATTGTATTAAATTATATTCATTTCACATTAAAATGTTAGCACACTCCAACATAGAAGGTAGTAAATTTTAAAGATTGAAATTCCCAGTAATGTTGAAGTAACATGGGAAAAATATTTGGGAGGATGGAAATTTGGAGGAAAACTGAAAGGTATGCAATATTAACATATCTCATAAAATATATTATTATAACTTGATTTGTATATAAGCTTATGTTATATAAATTAAAAAGTATAATTTATTGAAAGAAAAATTATTGAATTTACTTAAAATATTATACATTTTTGTTGCAAGTGGAGCTATAACCTACTGAAATCTGAAGAATATAGTCTGTTTAGGAAAATTATGCAGGAAAAACTAACTATAATCACCACTGTAGTGAAGCAAAAAAGTTGCATATTCTGAATTTTGTTTTCCAGTATATCTGACAGATTCAAAAAGAAGTAATTTTCAGGAGGGAAACTGAGTAAAATGGCAAAACAAGACAATGCATATTATAATGTCCAGTCTGATAGCTTCTTGGAGACTAAGGATGTATAGCTAAAGGTTGCTGGGGTATTCCATCTGCTATGTTATTAGTGATAGCTATGTCATTGGTCTGCACATTTACAATCCATGCTTATGTAAGAACTCCATAAAGGAGAGAGTTCTGTGTGCATTTTCATGGGTATAAGCCCCACTGAGAGAGCCAGTTTGGTGTAGTGGTTTAGGCACCAGGCTATAAACAGGAGACTGTGAGTCTAGTCTTGTCTTAGGCACAAAGCCAGCCTGGGGACCTTGGCCAAGTCACTTCCTCTCAGTCCTAGGAAGAAGGCAATGGCAAGCCACTTGTGAAATCTTACCAAGAAAATTGCAGGGGCTTGTCCAGGCAGTCGCCAGAAGTCAACACTGACTCAAAGTCACCAGAAAAAAAAAAAAACGAACTCACAAAAATTTATTTTGCATAAACATGAATATGCAGGAATGGGGATGTTGCTGAACCTCAGCTCTCAGCATTCTATTAGTCATGCTGTCTGGGGATTATGGGAGTTGTAGAGTAAGATCAGACAGAAAAATCTTGCAGAAAAAAATGTTTTTTATATTAACTTTCAGTGATGCAGGGAACAATGACCGGGTTGTAATACAGGAGTTGTTGAAGACAGTAGCGCAGTCACAGCAACTTGAGACAAGTACTCAGCGTGATTTTAAAGGTCTGTAAATTATGCAATGGTATGATGAGTTATTTCTACAAGCCTACTTAATGTTATATTTTTTTCTCAAGCAGAAATGTTTGGAGAAATTCATTATATGTAATAAAATTATCTAGTAACATGTAAATTAGCACTTATATTCATTAAAAATTATCCACACATCCAACCACAGCTCAGCCACAAAAGGGATACCTCTTCCATACATAAAATTTTTTTCAAAAACTGCCGCTAAGTTACTACAACTCCTTGACATAATTGTGACTTATAAACTAATGAAATCCCTCCAAAGCAAACCCAAAGATGACAAAACAGGAATTATTTACAACATCCAATATAAGGACCTCAAAAACTACAATGTAGGACAAACAGATAGAAGATTGGCAGAATGCATCTACAAACAGAAGGCAGGATGAAAGATTTCTGGTTGAGGAAAATGGAGAACTAGACATCTCCGAAAGAGTGGAGACCATGCTGTGGCAACTACCAATGGATTGGTGGCAAGCTCGGTCCATTGGAATAATTCTAGATAAGGAGAGGTTGAGAGATCGTCCACTTGTGTTCTGGACAGCTGCTACTTATGAGAAGACTGCAGATAGCAGATCTGAGCGCCAAGAAACAAGAGAAGCCATCAAGCTCTCAACCATGGTGGGACCTCAAAGGACACTGGGTTCAACCACCTCATTTTCTAATCAACTTTGGAATTACAGTTATTTTACAGTTAAAAGAAGTCTTCCAAACAATAAGTTTAAAAAGCTACCTGGTGAATAAAACTTCATCCAAAAATAGAAGAAAAGTTAACTAGCAGTTTAAAGAACTTAAAGAATCTAAAACAAATGGCAAAAAGCTGAATAAGAATTTAAGTTTAAAATGGATTAAGGAACCGGACAAATTTGGAATATTAGGACTTTTGCTAAGATTTTTGAAAAACTGAGTAAACAAAACAATATTTCTGTGGGAATACAAAGTATTTAGTCTACCACTAAAGAGATCATTGACTGAAAGTTGAAAACAAAATGAAACAATGAAACCTGAGACTTTGCGATTATAGAAATGGGCCATTAGAGGGGACTAAAGTTCCAGGCAGGAAAAAGAAAAGTGAAATCTGCAAAATAACAAATAAAGGTATGACACTTGGGATATTTCAAAGGATTTTTGAAGAACTGGGAGAGAAACATATGATCAATCCAACAGCAATATCTTTGCACCAGTAAATGTATTTTTTGAAGAAGATTATAAAGACGAAGTGGAAGACGAGACAGACAAAAATATGGAAGAATTTATGGATAGACAGGATGAAGAGGGGATACAAATCCTAGCTCTTGGAGAAATATTGGAAAATAAAGAAACTGAGGATTATAGAACAGAGATGACAGAGTGGAAACACAAATGACAGATCAAGAGATGAAAAAGGACCTGGGCAAGGACTTACTTTTGTATTTAGAAAAGAGGGTTTCTAAAACCTTGAAAAAATCTTTAAGATGGACGAAAGAAAGTCCGCATGTAAATTCAATCCTACCACAGCAACTTGAGGAACTAAAGATTAAGATTGTTAGAAGCAAAAGAAAGGAATATAAAGTTGGCTTGTCTGATCAGGGTTAAAATATGGAATTTTTAATAGAATTCTGAAAACCTTTTGTAGACTTTTTGCCAACATTTGGACAGAAATGACAAAGATTTTTGGATTTATAAATGCATTGGGGGGGTGCTATGGGAAGAAGTGAACCATGTATGCAATCTCCTAGGGGATGGGGAACTATTAATTTGCCTGTACTTGTTGCAAGGAAGATCAGGAGTCACTTCTTTTTCCCCTTCCCCTTTTTAGCACTTTGTATTCTTTTTTTTTTCTTCTGATTTCAGTTTGTATTATCTTTTAGCATTGTATAACTCTTTAATAAAAAGTATTTTTTTAAAAAAAGACATGATGAAACATTAGTAATTTTACAGCACACAAATAGGTTCAACCACAATTTCAACTGGGAAGCTATAGAGATTTTAGATCAAACCAAATTTAAGAATGCAAACAAATTCCTAGAAGCTTGGCAGTCAGCCTGATTAACTGTCAACAGACATATAGAGATAAACCCAGTTATGAACCATTCAGAAGTAACAACCAAAGATCAGAGAAAGGAGGGCAAATAGACCTGAGTACGTACGTCCTTATCACATACCTATTAACAAAAAAACCAGTAAGCAGGAACCAACACCTAATTACTATGGTAAAGACTAGAAAATAGCATGCTGGTTAATGAAAAAATAATACCACCTATTAACGCATTCTGCCCAAATTCAAACAAGGCTGATAGAACAACCTGCTATATATAGACAGCCAATAAACCTTACTTCCTCATGTCAGAGCACTGATGTAGTTAACTAGATTGATAATGAAACACCTGCAAGAAGAAAACCAAGTTCAGAGAACATTAAGAACCTAACACACTTATATCACTTATAACACTTAAAATAATCATAGAACTCAGATTTATTTCTTTAATCAAGATCCTTAGCTGGCAGTTCCATATCTAGAATTTTCCCGCAAAGCTCATAATATTAAGCAAATGAAAGTTTTGTAGGAATTCTGTAATCGTTGAATGAGCATTCCCAAACACTAGCAGCTCTCTTCGTATGATTCAGGAGAGGGAGAAATCTGATAAGAGAATGCGTTAGTGAAGCCTTGCAATCATGTTTTAGGAACAGTAAGGTTTGCATATTTCTGTATTATAAGAAAATATAATCTAAAACACTTTTTCCAGTTTCAGGTGCTAGATATGTTGTTAAATAATCCAGTCAAGTGCAATGTTTGTAACATTAACATCAATAGAAAAACCAATGATGTTCATATATTTGAATTCTGGACATTAAATGTTTATAGCCTGTGAATCAGCTGTGAAATAGTATTTTAGATGTTGCCTTTGTCATTTAGAGAGCCAGTTTTTTGTAGTGGTTAAGGCACTAGATTAGAAAACAAAAGACCATCAGTTGTAGTCCTGCCTTAGGCGTAAAGCCAGCTGGATAACTTTGAGCCAGCCACTCTGTCAGCCCTAGGAAGAAGACAGTGGCAAACCCCTTCTGAAAATCTTGCCAAGAAAACTGCAGGACTATTCCCGACAGTTGCCAGGAGTCAACATTTGCTTAAAGGCACAAAGAATAAATAAAATAATAAATGGTCTTTTATGATATAATGATTACATATGGTTCTTTCTTTGTCTAAAACAAGTTACATTTTTTATCATTTGGTTAGAATGGAAATTGCACACTTGTCCTTGTCATATTTTGTTTGTGTTTTTTTACAGAAATATTAGAGCATTACAGAACATTATTGAAGCTACTTGTGCTGTGATTTTGTATCCGGGAATATATGTAATGTGGATTCTTTTGGGAGGGTGTCTTTCTCATTGGGAGGATAAGTATGACGGACTGCACCCATGTGCTTAAAATATTTACAGAAGCTGTGAGATGAAAAACAAATTCTCATGTGTGCATGTGAGAGGAAGACCATAGTTTTCTGAGTAGGAAGGCTTTATCCTGGCTACTGAATTCAGTTGTAACTAAAAGTAAATTAAGATTATTATACTATGAGAATATAACTAAAACTGATTGCTCATTTATTTTTAGTGGTACTGTTGACAGAAGTGGACAAGCTTACAAAGGATGCCCAGCATGCATTGCGAAGAACAATGGAGAAGTATATGGCCACCTGTAGATTAATTCTTTGTTGCAATTCTACATCAAAAGTCATTGCACCCATCAGGAGTAGATGCCTTGCAGTGCGAGTCCCTGCTCCAAGCATTGGAGATGTAGGTTCATGAAGAAGGCGAATCATTTTCCAGGGTTTTTTTGTGCAGTGTTGTTTGAATGAAGTTTCACACTTGATTTAGCAATCTTTGTTTACTGTCTTTCTCTGAATTAGTTATGCCTACCCAGTTAGCTTATACTGAACGTAGTAGCTAAGTGTGAATGTAATTTTTACAACTTAGATTCATATTTACTTTGCGTTCTTCAAAGACATGGAGATGTAAAGAATGTAGTATTTTTGGAAAGGCTTGGAATGGAAGGATTCAGTCTCTGAAGGAGGAATGTGGTGGGGTCCTAGAGGCAAAACAGTAGTTGAAATTGGCAGGGAATACAGAATCCTTTGAAACTCTTCTCATTTGTCACCACTGTCCTTACAGGTCTTCACTAGGACATAGCCTTCCAACTTTATCTCTAAAATAAAGAGATCTAAATACCAGAATTTCTTCAGTATTTGTTAAGCACATTTCACTGAAGTACCCTTGTAAATATGTGATTTAGACTGCAGATTTGGGTATAATAGCAGGAACTATTATATATTATGTAATGTTATGGTTGTTTGTTATGTTTGTGGTGTTGTATTGTATTGTATTGTATTGTACTGTATTGTATTACAGAGCCAGTTTGGTATAGTGGTTAAGGTGCTGGGCTAGAAACCAGGAGACCGTGAGTTCTAGTCTTGCCTTAGGCATGAAAGCTGGCTGGGTGACTTTGGGCCAGTCACTCTCTCAGCCCAATCCACCTCACAAGGGAAAATAGGTTATTAGCTATGTTTGCTGCCTCGAGTTATATATAAAAAGGTGGGATAAAAATGTAATAATAATGCTAGGAAGAAAAAAAAATTGGTATGTGATGCACTAGCAGTTAGTATGTGCTGGTAAAATCTAGGCCCCCCCACTGTCGAAGCCCTTTCCCTGATGTTAAATTTTGTGCCAGACTGTGAAATGTTCCCTGACTATAAACTCGATCTGGCATTTGCCAGTTTTGAATCTTTTAGTTGGTAGTGGCTGTTAGTCTTTGGCTTGTGATGAATAGGGCTAAGTAATCCAGAAATTCACAGCATTGTCAGCTTGACTGCATAAGATATTCTGTGTCTCTTCTACTGTAAAGAGCCCAGGGTATAATTACTCTCTGTGAACCAGAATGCAGTGATTTATGTGTGGGAAAACAGGTATAGAAGAAAAGATCACACTCAGGGCTGCTGATTTAAGGTATATATGACTTACAGAAGGCAAAGAAGAAACAGATGACTGGAACTAGGTAGATGTAGGGCCCATATAATCGGTATTTCTTCAGTATTGTCTCCAAACTGATATCCTTCTTAAACAAGGACTTTCCTCTTTGTTTACTCCTGCATTAATTGAATTCCAACTAGTGCAGGGATACACAGGCTTTTAGAAAGCAAGTGTTCATAAAGCTAATTTTTGCCCTATCAAATATTTAGATCTGTACCGTTTTGTCAAATGTTTGCAAGAAGGAAGGCCTGACTCTTCCTCAAGAATTGGCTCGGAGAATTGCTGAAAAGTCTGGGAGAAATCTCAGAAAGGCTCTTCTGATGTGTGAGGCATGCAGAGTACAGCAGTAAGTTTGTTTGTTTTTTAAAAAAAAAACTTGAAGAGTTGGAGACAAAAAAAAAAACAGCACCAGGTTAATCTTAGCAAATCTTTGCTACTTTTCTCTCAGGCTTCCTTTCACACCTGATCAAGACATTTCTGAGGCTGACTGGGAAGTATATCTGAGAGAGACAGCCAATGCTATTGTCAGTCAGCAGACACCCCAGAGGTAAGGGAGTGTAGCAAATAATAAATGTCATTGATAAATATCAAGTTGTAAAATACAGCACATATATTTTCTGACACTAAAGATTTACATTAATAATTTTAATAGTGTGACCTTTTAAAAGGATGACTAGATAACCTGTAACTAGGCTTAAAACTTGTAAGGGATGCTGTAGTTTGAATTAAATATATATTTGTACTACATAATCATAAAACAGTGTTTCATAGATGCATTCAAAATAAAAGGAAAAGAATCTGTATACCAGCTGCATATGTGAAGACAGCAAAATCCTAACAGGCAACAAAGAGAAAGTGAAACTACTCAGCCCTTCTTTTGGCTCAGTCTTCTCTGGATGTATTCTACCAGGTTATTGTGACGAATGAAGGAGCAGGAATGAAGCTTGGAATTGTAGAAACATGATCAGGGGATACCTGTATACTTGTATAAGTTTAAATCTTTAGGGCCAGATAAATGAGATCCTAAGGTGCTAAAGGAACTTTCTGATGTCTGACCAAACATTTGAGTATTAGTTTTGAGACATCTTGGAGAAAGAGTGGAAGCACCAGATAGATAAAGAGGATGAACATTATTCTTGTCCTCAAGGGGGGAAAAGGAGTATTGATGGAACTACAGATCAGTCAGCATGATTTGAGAGCAACTTAAAAACAGATCACTCTATAAGTATCTTAAAAGCAGTGTGGTAGTCAAGTCGGCATGGCTTTGTCTAAATCATTCCAGACTACTCTTATCTCATTTTTGATCAAGAAACTTCCTTGGTATAATGTGGGAATGCAATAAATATAATATCTTGAATTTAGCTAAACATTTGACAAAGTACCCCATGATATTCTGATTAGAAAGCTAGTTAAATGTGGGTTGCATGAGTGACAATTAAGTGGATGCACAACTGCCTCAACATACTGTATTCAAAAAGTGCTCATTAATGGTTCCTCATCAGACTGGAGCATTAGCCATCTGTTGGGGATGCTTTAACTCCTATTCCTGCACCAAGCAAGAGCTTGGACTTCATGGCCTATAAAGCACTTTCCAACACTATGATTTTATGAAAATACAATGGCCCATTAGCCTAATTATCATACTGAGTACACACTCCCTGTTTTTTATAGTCAACTTACATTTTTCAAATCAGCATAAATGAACAAACAATTTAAATGTACTTCTTACTCTTCTTTAACTTGCTTGATAAAACCTGTTCAAATCCTGATTATGGATACCAGCCTAGACTGTGCTCCTACAGTTCTGGCCTTCCTTTCAACAATCTGTGGAAGCATTCTTTTTGTATATAATAAGCTCAGCATATAGCATGTAGTTTTCCCAAGAAATTGTAAAAGAAAGAAATCAAAAGTGGAGGAGGCTTCACAGCAAAGGCTACCCAAAACGGTAGCGGGCTCCCTTTTGTTGGGTGTGGTCAAGCAGAGATCAGAGAATCATCCATCAGGGTTGCTTTAACTCAGATTGATAGTCTAAATTGCTGTCTTAATTATAAGATTGTGCTATTGTACTAGTGGATCAGTGAGCAGTGTTAATACTGGTAGCCTATGGCCTTTGCTCAGTTCAAATATAACCATTTTAAAAATGAGTTGCTGAGACAGTATGCTTAATTTTCTAATATTGCTTTCACACAGACTTTAGGAAACTCATGTTGGGAAGAATAAACATCACATGGGCTCCATGGATAAAATGCCTAATCTAGTATTATACAATTTCCTATGGTTTAAGCAGCTAAATAGACTGTAGACAACAATATATAGTAATTTATCTTAGCAGCAGCAGATGGGTTCACAGTAATGGCCAGTCTCATAACTGCTACACTGAGTTAAGCTATTGTGAAACAAGCTTGCTTGTTTGGTGCAGTAAGGAACTTCCATCTAAAAATGACCAAAATTACCAGGGCAGCTTTTTCCTAGTTGTTGGTTTCCATGCACCTAGGAAAAGAAGTGTGGTCTGGTTGCCATGTGTTTGTGTGGTGGAATATATATTGTATTTGCAGAAAAAGACTGACAGCCTCTTATAATGAATTTGAGAATTTTAATTCCTTCTGATGTGAATGGGTGATACTGGGAGTCATGTCTTCTGCCTGCTCTCATTAAAGCTTTATAATAGTCTCCACTATTTTTTAATGTTACCGTTATGCTTTAGTAGAAAAAGAAAACATATGATTTGATTATAACCATGGATTCTGTTCTATGTGATCTTTATTTTGAGCTTTTTTATATATGTGGCTTTAGTCAGAGTCAATTAAATGACTGCTTAGGATTTCTTGGTATATTTTAATGGTTAAAGACAGACTGCTTTCCTGCTCAGCAGTGATTGTGGTTGTAGGGACATCAACTTTAGATATCTCTTTGCCTGTTAAAAAAAGAGATTGAGCAACGAAAGTTGGATTCTCTTTGGCTCAATGTTACGGTATGTATTTTCCCACCCTGGTTTTCTCTGAAACTGTTGGGGTGACAGCTTTCTGAATTCTAGCTAGCATATCCATGTTGGAAAAAGCTGTGATAGACATATTCAGTGGTTTCATGAAGATTTGCAGAATACAAAGGCAGGAGTCTGGTAGCACCTTTCCCAACTAACAAATTTTGTTAAAGGCGTAAGTATTTCATATAAGCTTATGCTACCAGACTCCTGATTTTTTTATCACCATAGACTAATATGGCTTTGTTCCTACAGGGTAGGAAAAAAAGGGAATCCATTGTTTGGAAGTGATTTAGGAAGCATTTGTGTTTGGGAAATCATGGAAAGTGGCTACATTTGAACTCCAAAAACGACAAGTCCCATTTTTTCACCTTCCTGCAGCTTTCTTATAATGTACTAGAGTAGAGATTCTTAAGTTATGGTCCAAGGGGGCTTTGCAGAAAATGTGTGAAACCCCTAAGAATATCTGCACTTGATCATTGTTGTTGTTGTTAAAAGAGACAGAAGCCATCTTGACTGGAGGTTGAATTTTGAGCCTGTGATAGAGAACTACTTGAGTTGTTTATTTTCCCCTTAATGATTACATGGGCCCTGTGATTTTCTTTCTTTTAAAAGAAAGGCGGGGGAATAAACATGCAATCTCTGAACAGAATTTTATTTCTTAATTGAATTATTATGGCTATATCTTTTAAAATTACATTTGAGAGTGTGAAGGATCGACAGTAAAGGTTGTTACATAAAAATTGGTTGAGTAAGTTAAAACCTTTTGTAAGACTTGGAAGTTAAATTACAGCTCAGTAATAATTTAATTTTATTCCAATAGACTACTTGAAGTCCGTGGGCGACTTTATGAACTTTTAACTCATTGTATTCCTGCAGAGATTATAATAAAGGTAACTGCTTTATTGGTTCCTACTTGGTTTACTAATTGAGGTTAACATTAATTGGAGCTGGGAAGCAAGAAGGTTTAGAATAAACAGTTTGAACATATTATTTTTTATATCTTGAAAGCACTATTAATATCCTTGTTTTAAATCAGATTTTGCTATTAGAGTTGAAAAATCTCATGGATAATTGTAAGGGTTATTGATTGTTTCTCAGCCTGCCCCAACCAAGAATCCGTACAGATTCCACAATCCTCAGCAGGAATGTACAGATTGTGGATTATGAGAGTTGTACTTCAGCACACCTGTAGAAAGCTAGACTGGGCAAAGCTGCTTTCAGTTATGGCAATTTCAGAACATACATATGCACTCATTGTGCTTTCTTCTTTTGGGTTATGCAACATTGTTCAAAGAGTAAGAACAAAGCAAGAAATAGTAAATAAAATAAATTGATAAAAGGAAAGGAAATCTAACTAAATCAAATATATATAATAATGCCATTCATAAAACCTTTCCATACCTTTCTATCATTTCAAGCCATCCTTGCTTCTAACAATTCCATAAACTAATTTATAAATTGCCTTTGTTCTTCTTATTTCTTGCTTTCTGAGGATTTAATGAATTAATCAATCATAACTTTTTCCCCTTTTGTCTCAATGTATTCAATCTTCCTGCATATTGTTTTACAATTCAGTGTTCGTTCATTCTTTCTATATGACCAAGCCACCTCAGGGTTCTTTCGCACTAGTCATACAACTTCTGTATTTAATCCATTTCATTTATCATTCATTCATCCTTGGTCTTATCTCTACTTTTTTTTACCACCCATACTTCTTAAGTGTCCCATTCCCACTATGTTCAAGTGTTATATTTCTCCCGACATACCCAGCTCTAACTTCTGTTTAACAAAGTGGGCAGAAGCATATTCTTATACACAATCATTTTCAGGATTTTTGACAACAACCACATACTATCCTCTTCTTTTCTACCAATATTTGCACATTTTAAAATTTCTCCATTTTTCTGTCTGTAGTAAACATCCTGCCAAGGTACACAAATTTATCTACCAGGTCAATTTTTTAACTATTTATGTGTACCCTGCAGATATTTATTCTATTTTCCTTGTGAAATACTACTTTCTTGATCTTTAGTATATTAATTTATATATCCATACTCTCATTGTATCATATAGTCTATCCTACATTCACTGTGAATAATTTGGGTTCTCACCAACTACACAGCATCATCTTCATACAGAAGTACACACAGATTCGTGTCTCCAACCAATACACTACTTGAATCACCACAAGCATTCCTTGTTCATGTATCTATAAATATATTAAATAACCAAGAGGAGTATCACACACTCTTTTCTCACACCTAGTTCATTGATGAACTATTCACTTAGCATTCAATGTATTCTCTTGCATGATCATATACTACTGGTATACCACTCATGTTTGACTCAGCAACCAATTACACACAAACAAAACATTCCTAGATCAGGTCTATTCACTTTATCATCAACAAATATACAATAGACTTTTTCAGTTCATACATTTCTTAATAATTTGCTGAAAAGAAAAAATCTGCACCTCACCTGCCTGGCTTAAATCAGCACTTCCCAAATTTTGCTCACCACTCACTGTTTACAGTCAAAAAGTAACAAGCAAAAGCAGCATTACAGCACAATGATGATAATATGGAAATAATAAAATGAAAGTAATATCTTTATCTTCACCCTCATTTTTGCAGCAATCATTCTGTGGTCTGTATTTTTTTTTTAATGCACTGCCTCTTTCATTTTATCATTCCACCAAACATTTTTTCATACTTCTGTCAGCACAGGTTCATGCACTTCTGCGGCACCCTGCCACATAATTCTTGTCAGGTTCAGCCCAAGAATCACCACGAGACAGTCCAGAATTCAGTTCAGCTTCTTTATTAGCTTGCACCTAATAGACAGAATCTCGCCAGACTAACTCTAA